TTATAAATTTATAACCTATGACTTATGTAGATCATAAATATATGATTTTGAAAAAATACTGATGCATACAATGATAGTAATGGCTATTGGCCAATGGAAACTATTAATAGTATTTGTACTTGTACGTATACTTAAAAATGCTAAGCACCTGAATACATTTAAACTTGATAATAATAATGATTCTTTATTTTGGTTGTATTCATGTTTGTTTTTACTTCAAAAAAATCATTTAATTTACAAGCATCAACTCTTCTATAAAAATAAAAATAAATACACATAAGTACACAATTTTGTTATAAAATAAATACATTTTTAAAAACTTTTATTTTAAAGATTTTATCAAATTAATATTTACTCGTTGTTCATAGATTTAGAACAAAACGAGGAATATAATTATTTTAAAATAACAATTTTTGTGGGAGAATTCAGATAATTATTTACTTTTTATTCCAAAATTTATGCAATAGCCAATGGCTATAAATCTAGTTTAATTGAAGTTTTAAATTTATAGTTTTTCGAATTTCCTCTGAAACAGTTTTCCTATAAGCGTAAAGATAATATTTAACTAATGATTAAATTATAAATCGTTGCTATTTGTTTACAAATTTAAAATAAAAATACATTAATATTAGTGTACTTTATTTTTCCTTAGATAACCGACAGCAAAGGAGGATCTGTGTGAACAATACTACTCTTTAGCTGGCATCGTTTATTGTAGTAAACAATTCAGTAAATAATATATAACAAACAGCACATTGCACATATTATACAGATATATATAAAATAAGTATGTAGCTTTGTACGCCAGACTCATCCGTTGTACCTCTTTCCGGCTCGGTTACGCACGCGCCTGATTATTATAGTGTACCTACTTGCGTATAGTACTATAGTAGACCTACAATATCTATATTATCAATTATGTCAAAATAGGCTAATTGGGTCTCTAATTTCGAGATTATTTCAATTTCAATTTTGAAACGAAAGTTAAAGTATAACTGTATAAGTATCTTTATTATAGTATCTATTTAGCATACAGTAAAGTATTAGTTAGAGGTATTCAACATTGTACGACTTTTACAGATTAGCTATAGATAACTCCCAATTGAATTAATATAATTCTCAGACATTTTTAAATGATTTCAAAAATAGTTTTATTTCATGAATCGTAGTATGAATACTTAATATAATAAATGCATTGGTATAGAAGAATTAAAAGTGTACAACTATTATACATGATTATGATGTTATGTTAACACACAAAAAAAAAAATAAATAAATAATTCAAATCAAATTTAAATCAAATATAGGTACTTATTACTACGTGACCCAAATCTAAATATTAAATGTTATGATGAATAGAATAGGTATAAATCGCGTATTAATGGTAAATTAATGTGTAAATGGTAAATTGATGTTTGCTGAATTGGTTTATACTAAGTAGTATAAACGAGTATCGGAAGCTGATGTAATTTAATTTCGATTACATTATATCGTTTGCGTAAATATCGATATACTGGTGACACCAGTAACCATTTACATATAACATATTGTGTTCAATCACTGAAATACATTTTACTCTGATAGCGTTTTCGACGGTCATGTCGATAATTTTGAACAAATTGTTGTAATTTGTGAGTATACATGATTAATAATCTTGTTTTTATTGATACATTCATCGAAATTAGTATTGAACGTTGAGTTTTATCAAAACACAAAAGCAATATTATATTATAATACCTAGTTGACAATATTATTTACGCAAAATGTAATACCTAAAATATTACTCAACATTTTTTTTTAATTTTATTTTAATACGCAATGACTGGTATTAAAATTATTAAAATTATTTTATTCAAGTTATAAATATTTTTAATCATTAATATTATAATTTATAGCAACTATACTATAAATATTACCTATGTTTTATTCGATTGTCTTATTAATTGGAATCATATAAAAACGTTAGTCTTAGCATTGATACATTTAAAATATGTAAATATTTTAGTTAAAACAAATATTTATAATAAAGCTATAAAATAATACGTACTGATTTTACAAAGATTGAACAGATTTACAGCTCTAATTTTACATTGTTGGCTTTGGTTCTACAGAGTATTAATGCTTTGAACTTTCTCGAAAAAAAAATGTTTCAACATTTTTATTCTTAAAGTGTGTATACCCTTACGACTTACATTTATTTATTAATACATCATTCCTCTGATATCAAATTTTGATGACAGCGCAGAATTATTTATAAAAGTATTGGTGTACTGTATGATACAGTTACAGCCATTAACTATAGGGTTAGAAGTTATATGCATTGCCATATTTTTTTTGCAAATTCTGATTACTACTTTAGTTTGAAATGCCCACAAATTATATGAAACAAAAAATATTTTTAGATAATTTACTGCATTATAAAATAAGATTAAGTTTGGTATTGGATAAATTGTAATTATCTCCCACCTTTTTGGATAATTCCTGGATCAACCATATTACATAAAACGTAAATTATTATTATTATTATATAAAAGCGGGTTATGTACTTATGCTCAAATTATCAGAATAATGTACGATAGATTCGATTAAACTATCTTAACTATTCATTTTCAGACATATTTATTAGGTACCCACCGCAAATACAATTATTTATAGTCTTATATCTAATTATCGTCCACATTATCTATGAAAAAATATATTTATATATTTTTTCAGATTTTTTAGTGTCAGTATGAATTACTTATGACTTATGAGGTATCTTTTAAATTTTTAAACCTTAGGTTAATGAAAAACAATATCATTGTAAAATCAATAGATTCATTGCTTCACTGAGAATTTAAAATGTAGGCAAGTAGATATTGGATTGGAATACTGTTCTGTTTTTACAAAAATCAGTTAAATTATTTAATATACTTCGTCATTGAGACATTGAGTAACTGTATGTATCATGAATGTATTGAATAATGTTTTATTATTACATATATAATTACATAAATAACAATTCTGTGCGGAGATGGTTTGTCAATCTATATTACTTAGAGTTATTACATTACGTATATATAAGTTAAAACTTAAAATCATAGCATTTTAACTGTTTCTAATGAAAAATAAAACTCATCAGTATATATAATCAATAAAATAAATGCATTACTCCACTTAGAATTTAAAATACACAACTACACAAATATGAATATAAGTACTATAATTTCCTTTGATGCTATATAAATATATAGCGTATTGCGTATACCTATACCATCAATACAGATGAATTGTATAGTCTGCAAATTCTAACTAATACTTGTGTATATTTACAGATAATATTTTTTCTAAAAATTTATTCTTCTAGAAATCTTTTTCCTATCGAATATTTTTTAGGTTTTATTTTCGAAAGTGGATCGCGGTCGTCAGTTAAACTATACGCAATTGTATTTACGAGGCGACTACTATGTCCGTCTTACATAATAATTCGTAGAACTATAGTTAGGGAGAAATCATTTTATTTTTTTGTCTCAATAAGATATATTTTATTAAATTAAGTATAATTGTGGAAAGTTAACTATATAATTAATCATTTTTAAATTACAACAAATTAACTGATCTTGTTTAAAGTGATATATTCATTTGATAAAAATTGCGATTTCCACATTAATTTTTTTGAAATTCTGTTTTCAAATATTAGTAGGTATCTAAAGATATAATATGAATTTATTTTTAACTTTTAACCACTTAATTAAATTGTAAATTTTATACATTTTTAACTAAACTTTTTGTATACCTATTTGATACGAATATTACTAGAAAACGCATTAAAATGCCTTAGAAAATACCATAAGATTAATAAATGCACTAAAAACACTTAAAAATGTGTTTGAAATTCATAAAAAACCAATGAAATCAGCTCTGCAGTTGAGTATATAATATTTACAAACTCATTGTAAAAATTTAACAATATTTTATATTGGAATAATTATCAAAGAAATTTTAAATCACGCAAGTATGAGTGAACAACCAATAAGTCGAAATAAAAATGACCTACCTATGAAACAAATAAAATATGTAGGTAAACTACGTAGACAAGTAATACCTTATTAAAATTGTTGGTTTTTAAATGAAAGAATGACATCAAAATATATTAAACACATTTTAAAAACTAAAAAAATTTAAAAAATTAAAAATTAAGTTTTATTGTTAAGTTTTTTGATTTATGAAGCAAATATTGTACTTGGGAAATTAAGCTGATAATTACGCATTTGTGTTGCTTATTCAATTAACCACAATCTAGATAAATAATTTATCTACATCTTACAATAATTCACTTCATAAATAAAATATATTTTCTACTCCACGATTGAATCCCATTTTTTATCGTCTGTTTACGTTCATGCACCTGTATCACTAGATAGTGTTATCAGTTTATCGTAGCCACAAAATACTTTAATCGTGATATCTCTTACTTAATCTGTCATTTTTATCACATTTAAAGTTATCAATATTAATGAATAATGATAGTCGTTGATACAGACTGATACAGTTGTTTTCACTTTCAGTCTTCACTCGGGATCGGGATGTCTCAGTAGTCACTAGTCAGCTATACTTCAGTCAGTGAAATGTAACCTTCTGTTTTACACTGCCGCTACTCGTCACTGGTATCCGCATCGTGAATGTCGAATCCTAAGTAGAATAATGTTTTTATACAGTAAAAGTAACTGTTGTTTTTAGTCAAACCTAGTCATAATTTACTCGTATAAATTCACCGTATGTCATACGTTATAACATTTCGTTTGCCTGCCTCAAGACGTACTCGTGCGAACGGTTCGATTCACCGTGTCATCCTACACAGTACACGAACTGTTGTTGAGTCGTATCGATTGTTTTCCGCCCCCGCGTGACACTCGTAGATACGAAAATATAATTATTATATTATTATTATTATTATTATTATTATTATTATTATAGTAACAACCATCCCGTCTTGTTGCTAAGTTATTTACTGTTTTCAAACTTAACATTCTCTCCGCCGTCGGTGATTCGGTCGAGTGTTAAAATAACTGACTTATATTGTACACGGTACCTACAGCCATATCTACTGTTACCTACCTTCTCAGGTGTGCGTGTGTGTGCTGCCTACGTACTATTATAGACAACAGTACATTATTTCGTTGTTGCCATCCTTCGCGAGATCCACTTTCCAAAAATGGACCAAACGTGCTATAACGAAGGTACCTAATGCGCATTTTTATTTTGTAATCATTAAAATCTACTGAAGCCTACTGAACATTTGATATTTTTATCTTTTATAAAGTTATATTAATATAGCATAGTGTTCTCTAGTGCTACCTAATGGTTGTACAATGTTAGTTGCTTATAAATTGTTATTATTATGATTTTTTTAGACAATTATTGATTAATCATACTGAGATGAAAAAAATCCAAGGTCGATTTCGGGCAGTATCTAGATCTACACTATCTACTGCTCATCTATTCTGTTTGTATTCGACACGTAGGTTTTTACTACCTATATTGTGTTTGCTTGAAATCCCTATGGTCCACCTAATATATTTTATTTTTGTCTGTTTTTTTTTTTATTTTAATCATTGATATGCTTTTTAACTTTTATTTTTGTAGTTTGTGAGTGTAACAAAATATTGAAAAACTAAATTTGATAATTAGCTAATTATAGAAACTATATATTTTTTGCATGAGACCATTTTATTACACGATTTATTAATATATTACTATGTTAAAATTCAATTATATTCATACTACAATATATGTATCAAGTGTAGAAATGATTAAAAAATATATTAATTTATTATTTTTGGGTATGACTTTAAAATATTATAAATAGTACTATTGATTATGGAATAGTCTATTCTATATTAAACGATAGTAATATAAAAAGTAAATTACTCTTCATGATTTCCTGCATTGAATTTAAAAATATTAGAATGGAAAAATTTTATAACACTATCATCATTGATTAGAATTATTTAGGTATAGGTTTCTGTTTAACTACTTAAAAATGAATTCTTTCTGAGATATTAAATCTTTTAATAGATATTTTATTTTTACTTATTTTCTATTAATAATTGTAATTTATAATATGATTTTTAATCAAATGGCCTTATTCTTAGGTTTGTTTTCTAGGATAATAATCTATAGGTTTTAAATGGAAATTCAATTTATGAGTGTTGAATATTTTTTCTATAAACAACTTTTACCTTCCCTTTGTCACAGAATTGTTAACTATTATTAGAACAAAAAAAAAAAAAAAGCTTTGTTCCTTTATATTATGTATTTCTTATAGTAAAATCTCTTATTTTTTACTTATTAAAAATATTTCATCTTTTTTTAAGTGATAATTTTTTATGCCATAAACATTTTATACTTGTATTCAGGCGTATAGCTAGGATATTTAAATATAACATATGAAGGGTTTTATATACTCTATTGAATTCATAAATTATCTTATTAATAATATAAAATAGAACCATATGACAATATATTTAGTATAAATCTGGATCTTCCCACATTCTTTTCGACTTTCCCTAAACCTTTTTTCTATTCTTAACTTTAAATCAAGAATAGTTATAAATTAAATCATAGCCTTTATAATGATAATAAAAGCTGGGCTTCAAATCTAATTTTATTGAATATTGTATTATTTAAATTTTATTGTATAATTGTTATTCTTTGTAATCGTATGTACAAAAAGCTAATAAAAAAAATCTGTATCACACATCACACACACACATATATATGTATTGATTGCATAAATATGGTTGATGAAAGAAGAGGTATTTCAACACCCAGAACACTTCCCTGGTTACTTCACTATTCATATCTCTTGATAATTTTTTTGTTTTAATACTTTTTTATGCAATTAATTTTTTTTATACTTAATATTTCATGAAAGATTATAAGTTTAATATTAGTAGATCTTAAGATTTTAAATTCTCTATTAACTTTGGTACCTACAGTGCAACAGTAAGAAAAAAATGGGTTCCAAATTTATGGATTATCAGATTTATTACCATATTGGTATGATAGAAATTACTTAAAAAAAGTAAAATTTTCTTATGGTTTCTTTATTAGGTACAATAACCACAGTTTAAGATTAAGTATTAATTAATGCTTTTCTATTTGTTTAATACATTTTATTTTGAATTATTTAAAATTAAAACTTACTACATATTGTTTGTACATTTAATTATTAAGTTTCTAACTATTTTTCCTCTTTGTTTAATTTAATAATTGTAATTTTATTCCTAAATTATATGTGACATTGAACACTAAAAATCATATTGATTAATTTATATAGCTCAGTATAAAGTAATCACTAAATTAGAATATTATTTTTTTACAATATCTGTATAAATTATATAATATATATATATGTTTATATTGATATTTGTTTCTATTATTATTATAGAATTTCCAAAAGAAAATGAGATTATTGAATTGCTACCGTGCATAATATGCAATCGTTCATTCCGTCCAAATTTATTACAACGCCACACAACTATATGTCAAAAAAACGCTAAAAAACGTAAGGTGCCATTTGATTCATCTAAACAGCGTAGAGAAGGTACTGAGATGGCAGCATATTTACCACATATGAAAAAGACTCAAGATGCTTATATAGGTATAGAAAAATCTAAGAAGAACTGGAAAGCTAAGCATGAAGAGCTTGTTAGAGCTGTAAAAGCAGCACGAGGGGAAAAAGTTGATGATAAACCTGTGCCGACTAAACCTATTGATTCTGAAGAATGTCCACATTGTGCGCGAAATTTTGGACCTAAATCATACGATCGACATGTAGAATTTTGCAGAGAAAAAGCTCAAAGAATATCTACTGCACCAGTGATAAGCCAAGTAGCTAAAGAACGACTTGAAGCAAGAATAAAAGTCAGTATAATTAATTAAAAATGTTATAAGTACCCATTTTTAGTTTCTAATAAATTTAAAAAATAAAAATATTTTAATTTTGATTGGTTTATTATTTTGAATTTATTTCTATTTTTAGTACCGTGCTCCTCCACTTAAGTCACAGCGTACAGTAACTAAAGAGAAATATTCTCCAAAAACCAAAAATCTTACTCAAGATGTTTCGAGTGTACCAATAAAAGTTATACAACCTCTAAAAACTATTAAAAAAAGAATTCCACCAAATAGAAATGTATGTAAGTATATTTAATTTTTTACCTACAAACTTTATATGTTTTAAGTAATATCCATCAAAAACTATCATAGTCAAAATATTACATCCTTAAATTGTTTTTATCTATATTCAATGGTGAGTATATATTTATTTTATATTTCAGAACTAACTAAGCATTAATATTACTATATTGAAAAATATTTTATTCATTAATGAACTTACTTCTATAAAATGTGATTTATATAAGTTATTTAATAAAAGTATTCTCCCTAGTATTCTAGCTGGAACATTTTAATATTAATATTGTTTAATGTAAGTGAAACAGAATAAAAAATATAGTACTGTTTGGAAGTGTTTCAAGAAATATAAATTTTAATATTAAATAAGTATGGACTAGATATTTAAATAACTTATTTCCTTAAGTGAGTGCAGGAGTTACCATTGTATTATTTATATTTAGATATCTTTATTTATAATTTCTCCCTTTATCTGGCTGTACTTTAACTTTTCTAAAACACATATGTTATTATAAAAGAAGACACAGTGTTTAATAATAGAACTCAATATATAACTAACTATAAAAAAAAATTAATTTTATTTTGTAGTTTTCGTATTTTAAATTTATACTGTTAAAACTATGATATAATACTATAGAAAATTAATATTAATATTAATTGTAGGTAGAAATATAGTAAATTTAATTAAAACAAAAGTAAGATATAAAAATAATATTAAATTAATTTGTTTAGCTAATATCCCACGTCAAATGTCAACAGTAGTGAAAAAGAAAGATCAAACATCTAAAAGCCTCTATGGGTAAGCATAGTTATCATATAAAATGTATTTGTATTTTTAAATTAATTTAGTATTATTCTTTCAGGGATAGAAATGCTATATACTTGCCCCAAAAGCCAGATACAAAAAATGAGTTAGCTATGAAGAAATCTGAATCAGCCTATATCCTTGGTTCTAAAAATCACATAAAACAAGAAATTAATAAAATGGTTAATAATTTTGACAAAAAAAATATATCAAAATCGTAAGTGGAAAGCATAATGTATCTAAATGTTTAAATGAGCTATACATTGATTGTTAATTAAATCATTCATTGTTTAAATTTAAAAATATTTTGCATTTCAATTTATTAAAAAGAAAAAAATATTTACAAGATATTTTCAAATAAATTATATAGGTAAATAATTTTAATACAACTATGAGTTACAATAAATATAGATTCACTTAATATATTTTTATGAAATTATAAAAAAAATATTGATAATCAAAATGTCATATTACACGCTTAACAAAAATTTAATTTCAAAATACTTATTCAATGTCAAAATTATTGTATTCACTGACAATTGTAAAGTATTAGTTATAAAATAAATAAATAAATAAATAGCACTAAAATTAGTCCATTAAAAATCTTAAAATAATACTAATCTCTTTAGCTATAAATACTAATAAAAACATACATTCATGTTTAATACATTTGAATTAAAATTTTTATCTAAAAGAAACTGTTTAAAGTAAAAATTAAATTCAATTCAAAAAAGCTAATCAAGTAAAGCAAGTGTTACAGAATACAAAAGTATAGTAAGTATAACAAATGGACAATATAAAATAATATCAACTGTTGAGTTTTATAAAATTCTTATCTTGAGAATTATTTAACTTATTAAAAGTTATAAAAATTAAATATTGAAAAAAAATTTATTTTTAAATAAAATGTATTAGAAGTTTAGATAACAAGATATAACTTGTATTTTAGGAAGTTTTTAATTTAATTTAATATTCAGAAACTTGTTAATAACGATTAAAATATGAATATTATAAAAGATAATAATCATGAGAATCCTAATATATTCTATTCCATGCATTGATTAATATTTTATTAACTAATTTATTTATGAATAATTATATATTTAATATATTTTAAGAGATCAGCCAAAATCTAGGACCATATTCTGATATTATGAAAACTAAGTCAGATGCTATAATATTGTGTCAAAAAAATAAATTAGATGTTGTGTATATTATTCTAAACAATTTTGATTCTAACTCTATCTTTTCAATAGAAAAACAAATTAATATTTTTTAATGTTAACCTATGAAAAAGTATTTATCTATCATTTATAAATATTACTACTAAAGTAAATTAGTTATATTTTTAAATTTGATTTAATGAATCTATAAAATTTGTCAGTCAAGATGTTTGTACATTTAAAGCTTATGTTCAATGACTATTTCATAAGTATTATACAGTGTGATTACAATTTAAGAAACACAAAATATTTTTGACAAATTACCTTGAATTTGGTCCAGATTATTTTAATTGATAAGAAGAATTACACTTATTTTTGAGAAGTTAAAATTTTTAAAAATATTTCATGTACACATAGGAAAACAATTTGTTTTTATTTTAATTCAAACCAAAAAATTGAATAAAGGCCTTTTTATACTTTAATTTAAATTACATTATTTTTAGTCACTGGCTATCATAGATTATTAAGGTAAAATGTAATTACTATAATAGTTGTTATGTTGTCTTTTTACCAACTTGTTCTAAAACGATTAATTTAGTGTTAGGAGTAAGCACAACCTTTTATTTAATTTATACATTTTATGTTGTATTTGATGATATTTATTCATTTTAATAATGTCATTCGTAAAATGTAAACAAGTATAATAATAAAAAAATAATTTTAATTTTACATTTCAAACATAACTTCAATAAATACAGCCAGTAGTTGTAATAAAATATATAAATAGTGTATTAAAATTAGTTTCAAATGCCAGTAAATAATTGAATAAATTAAACAAGCTGTATATTCATTCCAAGGTTATTAATAATATTTAAGGAGTTACTAACATGGCAATAAGTGTAAATTACAGTGATAAAAAGGACTGCGTTTTTAAATTTTATGACTTGTATTTTAATTTTATTAATGATGTGGTATTATACACTTATGTACTAAACATTAAATTAAAGTAGTTATCGTTAAATGTGTAGGCAACAGTTGTTGTAAAGATTATTTCTTATACAATCCTTAAAATGTTATTATTCTTTACAATCAATATAGCTTATTGAAAACATTATTTTTTAATTGTTGTAAATTTTCAATACTATTACATTGTGATCTTTTAATGTTTTAGCCAACCCCATTTGGATATTTACGATCCATTTAAATCAGCTGAACAACAAATGAAAGAGCTCGATCTAGACATTAACATAATTGACATTGGTCTTAAAAATCCGTTAAAATGTGTCCAAACTGATAATATTGAGAATCTTCAAATGTCTCCAACATCTGCATTCGTTAAATATTCACCTGTTTCTTCTTTAGTAGTATCTCCAGATAATATTGAAAACACATTTCCTAATGATTTTCACTCGGACACTAATCTTAATAATCATCCACTACATAATTTAAGCAATTTAAGTTTGTGTTCCATTGTCAGTATTGAATCTGCTGACTTTAATAATAAGATTCATAGTGCTGTAGAACGAGATATAGATCATCTTAAAAGTCCTACAAAACGAAACATTAACCATAATAATAAAAAACATATAGCTATTGAAAATATGCTTTATGGTGATAATGAAAAAAATAAATCAAATCTCACATTTGATTTGGCAGAACAAGAACTTTTAAAATCTGTGTCAGAATTTGAGAACTTATTGAAAATAACAGATGATGATGATATAGTATCACCATCTTTGAATAGAACCTCTGCCCTTAGTATGATCAATGGGATTAATTCAAATAGCAGTGCTGATTCGGCTTACGGAAGGTAAGGCGAACAATCAATGGTGTTTCAATTGTCATCGGGTACTTGCACGGTTTGAACGGGTTTCATTTGGAATCCAACACTTACTGATTTTAGCCAAAATCAGCCTAACACGGGTAGTTAACACATTAAAATTATTAACATTATACAAATTTGATAATATTATAGCACATTATAACACAAATTTGATTATAGTTTTGCTTATTTGGTCTGAGTTTAAACACCAAGTAAAAATACAATATTAGTTAATCAATTTTTTTTTATCTAAAAGAATAATTTGTTTAGCTAAACAAAAATAAACAAAATAAATTACTATGCCATTTTGTTATTAATCATAAGTATTTTCACAAAATTTTTTTTTTTATTATTTTGATTAAATGTATTGTATTTTTGGCATCTATATTTAAGAAAAAATATATTCACCAGGTTGTGTGTTTGTTTCAAATAAATAATTAAAACAAAATAGTATACCCAAAGTGACACATGATAACACATTTTATAAATTATCTGATCAAATAACTCATTAATCACTAAACATTACCTATTTAGCTTATCAAATCACCTAAGACTACAATATTATCAATACAAATCATTAATAGCTTTAATTAATTTATATTATTAATGATTTTTATAAATTTACTATGAAAAATATTTGATTAATTTTATTATTTAATAAAGATTTGTTGTTGTTTATTCTAGTGGATATTCTTTTAAATTAATAACAATTTTACAGTTGTTTATTATGTAAAGTAATTTATATTAGTTATATTATATTATTATTATTATTTTTTTGTTTTTTATGATTAGCTTGAACAGAAAATCTGAACAGACGACAACCGACAATTATCTTCAACTGCTGAAAACTGCTAAATTTTGTCACGAATGTGGGTTCAAATATCCAATCGTTGATATTAAATTTTGTACAGAGTGTGGCATGCGGCGCATAGTATCATGATTGAGTTGCTTTAATTTCAATATTTATGTCTTATTAAGGGTATTAAGAAAACAAAATTTACAATATGTTTAATTTGTAGAGTGAAGTGTATATTTTAATATTTTTATACTTACAAGTTATAATTAATAAGTTAACAGCAGTTTATAATATTATTATAGTATGAAATTGCATTATTTTACTTAACCCCTGAGACTGATTTTTTAATTGAAATTAGTTTGAGTGTATCTTGTCACTTAATTTATTTTTATACTACTAATGCAACAAGACCAAAGTATTAACAATAATTTAATTGTTGTGTGAAGTAATATTGTTAAGGTATTTAAAATATTAATTTTTAATTGCTTGAATTGTTTGCATTACAATTGATTAGTTTTCTTAGTTCAGAATTTATAATGTGTAAACAATAAACTTATAATTATACTGACTTATGTATCTAACAAGTATTATCGACACTAGGAACATACACAAAGAGAGTTTTAAAGGTTCAACTTCAGCATAAAAAAAAAAAAAAGAAAAAATATGTTTTCATGTATGACCCTATCATTTACATTACATATTTAAGTCCATAAGTATTGAGGAAAAAATGTGAATACAATAACAAATCGCTGAAAATATATTGTTTGTATTTCTCTTTCACGAGTTCAATTATTGTATAATGTATTATATTAAGACTTAATACATTAGAATATAACATTTGACCAATACATTAAATTACTTTTTGTACTAAGAAATGTCTAAACAAAACAATAGTACCCATATTAATTACAAATAATACAACATTTTTATGATAAGTTAGAATATATTTTAATTTATTTACTTAACTACTTGTATTGTTACTAAAGGATTTCAATTTTATATATTTTGATAATGTATTTTATATATTTCACATAATTACATACAAAAACGTAGGTAACTTTTTTTATTCTTTTTTCTAACATTTTTTTTTTTATTATTGCAGCATTTATTATTTTCGATTGTTTTTAATTATATATTCTTATGTATTTGTTGTACTAGGTATAAATGCTTTTATTTTTTCACCCTTTTCAAATATTAACACAATTTATTGATTTCAGACACAAACTAAATATATATTGTCATTTGTTCTAGCATTTTTTTATATATTTTGTCAGGAACGATTGAAAATTAATAGAAAAAGAGTATTATAGTATAACTTATTCTTATTTACAAGTATAATTATGATATTTGGAATCTAGTGACAAATAATTTGCTATTGTTTGATTATCAAATTTTTGTATGGATTTTGTGTTTAAATGTCTATTATCTAAATATTTTGGAAAGTATATCTTTTTAGAAATTGTAATCTTATTTTGCACATTCACGTTTCTTTATAATTTATATCTATCTATGTAACTACTTACTATAAATGTTTTATTTTTCATCTTTAAGATGTTATTACCAAATGTTAACAGTTTTAAATCGTTATTATTTTTATAACCTAACCTTGGTATTTTATTGTTTTTATTATTATATAAATTTATAATGTAGTAGGTAGGTCCATAAAATATGGTAATTTTTTTATTTTTTGAACATTTTGTTAACAATATTTTAAAATATGATGGTATATGTATAGCTATAATAATCTTGTGTTATTGATAATAGGTAACTAGTTACTAATAAGCCGATATTCATAGATTAGGTATCATATTTCATAACTATAGTAAACACATGTTTGTGTATTATGCCAAAGAATACTGTGACTACTTGAGTATTATTTATTGGTTTCTACTAAAATTGTTCAAATAACAAATTACCTCAGTAAATGTCACTTTCCAGTTGCCACTAGCACATAAAACAATATAGCAATATTTTAAATATTAATGTACCTTTTATATTATTTATTATGAGTATTCAAAAGAGAAAATTTAAATTGATACTAACCACCAAGTCGATTAGTAAATAATCTAATTTTTTTTTAATTCCTTCTTTAGATTCTGTTCCATAAAATTGAAAATATTGCATTCCTCTTTTCAAATGACTCCTAATTTAAATACTTTAAAATAATTAAATAATATTATATAATTGATTTTACTTTTAGATTTATGTATTAATATATAATATATATTAATAAGTGTTTCATTTAATTTTATACGTTTTATAAATTATTTTTGTTGTAATGAGATAACATGATTTAACTTTATTTACAGTGTTAATAATTTAGTCACTCTGTTGTCATGCATTTTTTTTTTAATTTTATTGTGTATCTAACCAGTGCCATTTGATATTTTTAAAATAATAAAATGTCGAAGTACCTATTAAATCACACTAATCGTTTGTATTTATATTTTAAAACTACCTACCTCTGGTGTACAAATTTATTGTCATCAATCAAAAGAACAAACATTGAATTACAAAAATATTTTGTAATACCATTGATTATAGAATATGTATAAAGAACTAACAGAATATTTTGAGTTTGAACTGGTTAAGTAAGTATTGAGTGTTTAAATTATTATTTTAAAATTAATAATATACTATAAAGCGTGCTGACATTAACCAGTAGCACGCCTGTTGTCAATTTCCGATTGGGTTATTGTCGCAGACACTATCTGTGCTTTTTAAGATATCGGATCTTGGTTAATGTTGGATGATATATGTTTAGTTGCTTTTCTAAGAGCTTTTTAATTTTTAAAAACAACGGATAACTTTTGGGTTTTTCTCCTAGACTGCAAAATTTAAAATATCACCTTTTAAAGTTGAATTAACAAAAAACAATGATAATTAATAACTCACGCTCTAGTTAGTGGTTTTGTAGGCAGATTTTTGGGTTCATGTTTTATGTTCGGAATCGGTAATATAGTATTATCAACGTAAAACTGTTTACCATTGATAATGTATTGGGCTTTGATTTCCTCAATCAAAATTCCCAAAATGTTGTTTTTCTTCCAACGCACTGACCCTGATTTCTAACAAAGTAATCAATTATTGAACATTATATATAGAAGTATATAAATATGTTTATGTGGATTATCATACTGGTGATATAATATAAAAATCCAATTCAATGTATCTCTAATATTTTTTAGGATAATTAACATGAGTGTACCACTTATCGTATGTTTTTAAAGAAATATACGTACGTTTCTTACGTTAGCAAAATTTTTTTAGAGGAATTTACAATATTTTATGAAATTTTAAAAACATACGAGTATTCGTATAATTCGGAATTATATTATAATAAAGCATAATAGGCATCTATTAATATACATTATGTCAATTAATGGTTATTGTCTGTAAATTATTTATGTACACGGTTGTATGTGTACGAGTACATTGCACATAGTCTTCTAATTGATATTAATATTTTTTTTTTTGTTTTCATTCAAATATTATATGTTTGAATATATATTTAATATCATTCGCATTGTGACATTTTTTTTTTAAATTATATAATACTATGTTTATATTAACATTACAAATAAATATCCAAAAGACATTAATAAGTGCATTGAAAGCACTATTTGCTAAATAAGGTATGGCCTATGAAGTATGTGTATAATTTATTTTACTATTATTAAAGATACCTGATATGCTGTAGGTTGAATTAATTTTTGCCGAAAGTGATATGGCATATATTACACTGTCATAAAACTTTATTATATATTATTTTTACATATTTAAATTAATTACTAACGTATCGTATAATGTATAATGCTATAAATGGATATATGGAAATAAAAGCCTAAAATTATTTTAATTATTTAAGAAATTATATTACATTTATAAATTAAAAATAAATTTTTATGAGTATATTATGAAAAAAATTGTATTTTGTGTCAAGGTTTTTGAAAACAAAAACATTTGTTTAACAATAAATATCAGAAATAAATTAAACAAATTAAAATATTCTAAACACTCGTATGCCAAAAAATAATAAAATACAAAATTTATTATAATTATGATTTATCTATTATTTTTTGATTGGAGCGATGAATACATTGATTTAATAATGATGAGTGTTTTTCTTATATTATTTGTATTTGTACCTATTTAAAAAAAAAGTAGTCCAAAATTTGGTTTTATTTTCAGGATGGTTATGGATAGAAAATTTTATCTAGTTTGTACTTTAAAGAAGTAAAAATTGAGCCTCAGAGTTTTCAGGGTTTTAATTGTTTTAAATTAACTAGACTGTAGTCATTAGCTTAAACTTACTAAATTTTTTTTAACTTCTCTGCTGTAAATACTTCCATAAAAAAACGTATGAGAAGTTTCTGGATGTATAGTATTTGGTATATGAATAACTGCCGATTCACCTACAGTTAGAGAATATATACTTTCTGTAATAAACGATGAACCTAACCTTGATATACACAAAAATCTAACACCAATCTGTGTTTATTAGCTAAAATAAAGTTTTTTAATTCAGTTGGTTTAGGTTTTCTTTTTAAAAATTGCTTTATTTTCGTATTTCCTGTTAATGGTATTATTTGTTCATCGATACCTATTATTAAATGTACATCTTGTACCAACCGGTAACACCCAGCTCTTACTGCTTCTAATATCGAACGAACTTTCCATAAAGAATCTTTTTTTTCTTCATTAGTTATTGCATTTTAATTTACAACTTTAAAAAAACCACGAATTAAAAAAAAAAAGATTTCGTAATATAGTGTTACTAATAAGAGGTACCTTAGTAGTTATTGCTCAAATTAAACATACGCTTTCTTGGATACCCTAAGCTTGACATAAATATATTACATCCTATAAAACGTTTCATTTCAGTTGATTTCACTAGTATAGATTTCCCTGTTTCTTCAACACTTTTAATATTACTGCAATTTACTATATTTTCAATAGTTTTTTCATTGATATATTGACTAAAATAATTTATAGGGGTCCAGTCATATCGTTCCGAGTCATTATATTCATCAGGCGAAGAACAAATTAATTTCTTTTTAGGTTTAAAATTATTTGTTCTTAGCCATTTCATAGTATTAATATATTTAATTTGTTGTACGTTTTGATTTAAATTATTATTAGAATTAATTATTGTGCAAATGTCAATCAGATTCGCATCTATTGATCTATTAGAAAAACTATAAAATTAAAATTAAAGTTTTCTAATC